AGTAGCAGGATATAAAAGAAACCCACATAAATCATCAGCATTTCTATATATCACCAACAGAAGCCTGCAAAAAGAGACAGTAAGAGATATTCCATTTAAAATAACTGTAGACAACATAAAATACCTAGGCATAAACCTAACAAAACAAACTCAGCAATTACATGAACATAATTATAAAACACTTTTCATACAAATACAGTCAGATTTAAATAATTGGAGAGTAGTCGTTGTTCTTGGGTGGGCAAAAGCAATATAATAAAAATGACAATTCTACCTAAACTAACCTATTTATTCAATGCCATCCCAATTAAATTGCTAAAAATATTTTATTGACTTAGAAAAAAATAATACCATTTATTTGGAAGAACAAAAGGTCAAGAATATCATTGGAATTAATGAGGGAAAATTTAAAGGAAGGATGCTTAGCAGTACCAGATCTTAAACTATACTATAAGGCAGTAATTGTTTAAAGTATCTGGTATTGGTAAGAAATAGAAAGGTGGATCAGTGGAATAGAGCAGACATATAATCCACAGCAGTAAATGTCTATAGTAACTTTGTGTTTGACAAGTGTAAAGATTTAAGCTTTTGGGATGAGAATTTGCTATTTGGCAAAAATTACTGGGAAAACTAGAAAACAATCTGGCAGAAACTGAGTATAGACCAATATCTTCTACCATTTTCCAAGATAAGGGTGAAATGAATATATAACCTAGATATAATAGGAGATGTCACAAGGAAATTAAAAGAACATGAAATATATTACCTATCAGACTTACAGATAGGAGATATGTATATGAATAAACAAGAGATAGTATTATGAGTTATAAAATGGATGATTTTGATTACAGTAAATTAAAAAGGGTTTGAACAAAATAAAAACCAACATAGCCAAGATTAGAAGGAAAGCAGAAAACTGGGGGGGGGGGAAGGGAGGATTTTATGGACAGTTTCTCATATACAGGTCTCATATATCAAATATGTAGAGAAATTTGTCAAATGTATAAGAATATGAGTCATTCTCCAATTGATAGATGGCCAAATTATATGAACAGGCAGTCTTTCAATAAAGAAATCAAAACTACATACAGTCATATGAAAACATGCTCTAAATCATTATAGATTAGAGAAATGCAAATTAAACAATGCTGAGATATCTCATATCTATCATATCTCATATCTATATGTGTTAAAGGCACACACCTTTAGCTATCATTGGCTGAAATGACAGAAGGGGAAAATGACAAATATTGTAAGACATGTGTAAAAATTGGGACACTAATGCATTGTTGGTGGAACTGTGTTATGGAGTGTAATCTAGAATTACACCTAGAGGGTTATAAAATTGTGTATACTCTTTGACCCAGGAATACCACTATTAAGTCTTTTCCCAAGGTGACCAGGGAAAAAGGGGGGGGGGAAACTTACATATTTTAAAATATTTATAGCAACTCTCTTTGTGGTGGCAAAGAACTGGAAATTGAGGGGATGCCTGTTAGTTGGGGAGCGCCTAAACAAATTGTGGTATGTGATTATGATGGAATACTCCTATGCTGTAAGAAATGATGAAGGGGCAGAGCCAAGATGGCAGAGTAAAAACAGTGAATTGCTTGAGGTCTCTCCCAAACCCCTCCAAATACCTGTAAAAATGGCTCTAAACAAATTCTAGAGCAGCAGAACCCACAAAAAGACAGTGAAACAAACTTCCAGCCCAAGACAACCTGGATGGTTGATTGGAAAGGTCTATTGCGCCAGGCTAGGAGAGGAACATAGTGCAGCATGGTCTGCCCTGGCAAAGGCCGGGTCTCAGCAAATCTGGGTCAGTCCTTAGGGGACTGAATCAAGGGAAGCTGTGGCAGTTTCCAGACTTCTCAACCCACAAACACCAAAGACAACTTGGGTCAGTAGGAAAGTTCTGTCGGACCTTGGTGAGAGAGGAACTTGGTCCCAGCCCCAGTCCTGGCCCAGCCCCAGGGTGGTGGCTGCTTCCAAAGCTCTTGGAGTGCTTGGATATGGATTGCAGTTTTAGATGGTGGTCCTGGGGTGAGGAGGAATACTGACATTTTAAACACTTACTATTCTAAGTGCTAATTCATCACTTAACATATATATACGTATAGGATAAATTGGAAAGGACTCTTACAAACCCTAAATTCTATGATTCTATGTATGAAGTCTCCAGCTAATACAATAAGGATCTTTTTTTTTCTACTAATGTGCAATCATCAGAGCTAAGAACACTGAAATATTTCAGCTGCACACCATGCCACAAACATACCAGGCAGAAATTTATAAAAACAATTTTTACAGTTATTCAGTTCGCGTTTGATCTATTCTCATGTCTAGATTTTTAAAAGTTAAGTCATTTAAATTTCCAGGATTTACAAATCAATGAATTATACCCAATCTCATTCCTTTCTTTACCCCAAGTAATCTTTCAATATAATGATGATAATGACAATGATGATGATGATGATGATGATGATGATGATGATGATGATGATAGCTGGCATTTATAGAGAGCTTTAAGGTTTGCAAAGTACTTTACATGTGTTATTTCATTTAATCTTTGCGACAACCCTGTATGATAGATACTGTTATTACTGCCATTTTATAGATGAGGACACTGAGATCGACAGACGTTAAGTGACTTGCCCATGGTCACAGAGCTAGTAAGTGTCTGGGTCACAATTTGAAGTCAGATTTTCTTGATTCCAAATCCAGCATTGTATCTACTATGCCACCTAGCTGCCTCTAAAAAATGGCAGCTATTGTTAGTAAAAAAAAAAATCTATGCTAAAGAAAGATAACGGTTTGCATTATGCAGGCCCAAAGAGAAAAAATGGAAAGAAGAAGGGGATGGCATGGGAAGCAGCTTCCCCTATTGTACTTAAGTTTTAAAATTCAAAATCCAATTTTTTTTATTTATGAGTAAATTTACCAAAATTACAGAATCACAGAATTTTGGGATTTGGAAGGAACCTCAGCAGCCCTCTTGTCTGACCTTACCAGAAGAGGAGGCTCTCCTGTAAATCATACTTGACTGACAGTCATGCAGCCTCAGCTCAAAGCCCCCAGGAAAAGATCCCAGGAAGCTCATCCCATGTGGATCCAGCATTCATGGACAGAAAACATTTCCTGACTCCATGCCTATCTCCCCTTCCATTCAGCTTAGCCCCATCGCTCTTGATTCTCTCCTCTGAAACCAAACAGAACAAGCCCAATCCCCCTTCTGCATAATGTCCCTTCAGCGACTTGAGGCCAGCTCCCATGTGCCTCCCTAAGCCTTCTCTTCTCCAAGGTAAGCATCCCTGGTTCCTTAACCCAGCTGTTTATATTAAGTATTCATATATTACTATTCACATTTATTTGTGTGAAAGGATATATTTGCATAAAGCTAAATATGCCATTAGTTTTAAAAATAAAAATAAATTCACTATTTGCCCCTTTACCTCCACCTCAGTTTCTCTAGCTGCCTTTAAGACTCAGCTCAAGTCCCATCTTCTATAAGAGACCTTTCCCAAACCCCCTAGTTCCTTGTTGCTTCCCCTCTGAGAATACCTACCACCTTCTCTGTCTATATTATTCATATATATGTGTACATATATATATATATGTATATATATATATACACCACATACACATACCATGTAATAAATATATATGTAGACTTTGTAACTAGCTATTTATATGTCATTTCCCTTCCCCCTCATTCTAATGTATATGCTCTTTGAAGTCATCATATACATTGTAGCCAAAAAATCTCAAAGACCCAAGTACTGATTTTTGCCTTTCTTTGTATCCCCAACTCAGCATGGTGTCTGAATTTTGTTGTTCCTTCCATTTAAGCTCTTGTCTAGAAATCAAAATATCATTTTCAGCCATCTTATTAACCAGTTGTTCATTTCCCAAACCTGCCTTGCTCTTCTACACCTTCATTCAGTTAGAAGTTGCATAGTTGCTACATTTCTTTTAAATAGTGGTCCAGAAATAAATAGCCCATTCACATCCACCATCTTCTCAATCTGGTGTTCATTGCCTAAGAGCATCTATCACTCGAGATTATTGTGAGGATAATATGAGATACTATTTGTAAATAATTTGCAAAGCTTGAAGTATTACATAAATGTTTCTTATTCTTATCATTATTAAATCTCTCCCTGATTTCACTTAGAATCAGTGAAGAAACACTACAGATTGCTCTAAGGGCTTTAATTTCTTGTGCAAGCCTTTGTAATCCTTAACAATACTTTTTGGATTTCTTGTGGCAACATAATCTGTTACCATAGGGATCACCAGAAAACAAAGCTAGCTATATATGCAATGACAGGGTCTATCTACTGCCTTTAATACCTCTTTTACAGACAGCCTTCCTTCTCTATAGTAATCCTTCAAAAGAACACTAGAAAAAGAGTCTGAGTATAAATCCAATCTCTGCTCCATACTACATGTGTCACAACCCTTTGGGGCCACAGTATCCCCGTCTGCAAAAACAAGGTGTTGGACTAGAAGATCCCTAAGGTCCCTGACACCTCTAAATCTACCATCTTATGATCCCCAAGTTGTCTGCCCTCTCTGAATCTATCATCCAATGATAGTTTTGAAACCAAAACATCTCAGTATTGTAGAGCTGAAGGAAAGAGACTCAGATCACACTTTAGTTTGCATTGGTCAGCAGAATGAATGGAGTGAAGAGAGAAAAGGGATCACCAGACAGGAATCAGATACCTTCATTCATCTCATCTCTGTTTCGTATGTTGATTTCCAACACAAACAATACACATATCCAAATCATTGTAATCAACCTTTCAAGGGCAGACATAAATACATTTTAGATAGTCTTCTGTTTCAGATAATCCAAATCCTCTCCTCCACCAGTGGAAATCAATGCAAGCTGACATCACCTCAAAAATCCCCATCCAGTGCTCCTCAGAATCCTTATTAGGCACTTCCTCTTTTTGCCTCCTCATTCAGCCACTCACACAAAATGCTGGCTATTATTTTCAGTTTCCCTTTCCTCTACTTCATTTCCATACTTTTTTTTTCTGCTGCTCAGAATTCTTTTAAAAACTAGAAGCCCTCAGTTCAGTGATCAGAGAGCTTTAGGTTAACAAACTGACCAAGAAAGAGTCAGGGTCAAGGAATTAAGAGGAAAAAACAAAGTCACCAAACCTATGAAACACGGAAGACACAGAGACTGTGAAGTGAAGAAGTGGTAAGAACCTTTCTGTATTTTCTTTTCCAAATGGCCCCCTCAGAAATTGTAAAGCACATGTGCTTTGTGTTTTATAATCTTTGCTTGGAGTTTGAGGGGGAGGTGGGTGGGCTCGTCATTTCCCCTAAAATAGGACACAGTTGGTTCTCAGTTACTCAGAGGTCAGCAAAGTCTAAATCTTGGTCTGGTCAGCATTTGCTGTGCCCACTCCATGTGGAGCACCATTCTAGGCACCGGGGTCAGGAGGAGAGGTATTTGTTTTGCATAGAATGTTTTTGGGAAGCTGAAGTAGTTTAATATTGTCTGTGATGGAAATTCCTTAAATTGTCCAAATCGCATGTTGAAAATTTTAAGGTTTGATTGAGGAGAAGAAAAGACAGAGGAAAAGACCTGAGTAGGAATCTACAGCCCACTGATACTGTCAAATCCTCTCAGAATCTCATTCCATGCAGCCAGTTTTCCCATTTATCAGAATAAGACACTATGGGACTGTCACCTCTGAATTCTCCATCTTGGTTTCAATGGCAATTTACCTATCTTGGCTTATTTATCCTATACTCAGTCTGAAAACTGGAAACTTCTGAAACTAACTCAAGCCCAGGACTTCAAGTACTCACAATACTAATGAACCAAGGCAAGCACAGCATTGAAATAGGAAATATCTAATCAAGGTAGAAATTGCTATGAATGAAAGAGCAAGGGAGGCACATCAGGCGCAGCTCCAAATAGTTGTGTCTTTCTGTTCCATGAACTTGCTCCCACAGAGAAGGAAACAATCAGAAAGCACTGAGGGAAAAAGTGGCTTCTGTGGGAGGGCATCTCACTCCATCTCTGGGCCAGGGTTTGACCAATCAGTAGCCAGAGAAGAGATCAGTGTGTTGGATCCAGACTTTCCCCCTGACCAGATATTTCCCCCTCTGGGAGATAATGTAGGGGAAAATAGCTAGAGATGTTTGCTAGCTCCTAGTGGAGTGGCTGAGCAAGGTCTGGATCTTAGCACCTGAACTGTACTACTGCTAGAACTCCTGAGTATGGGGAGTGACTAAAGATTAGTTAAGAACTGTCTAGATGTCTGAGGTGCCATAGGTGCCTAGACAAATTGGAAGCTGTATTAATTTGATTTTTTTAAAGAGTTAGAGATCATTCTGGGTTTTTTTTGTTTAATTGATTAATTGGTAAACTCTTGATGTATGACCTGGTAGGAGAAGTCAAGTCAACAAGCTTTTATTGAGGGCCTACTTGGTGCCAGGTACGAGCCACTAGCAAATAAATGAAGGTTTCCCCCACAAAAAAAGTCTCAGCTCTCCAGGAGTTCACAGTCTAATGGGAGAGACAATATACATATAGGTATGTAAAAATCAATATAGACAGGATAAATTTTAAATACCACAAGGGAGCCACACTCTCTTAATCAGTCAATCAACAAGCATTGATTAAGCACCTGCTATGTGCCAAGCACTGTATGAAGTGCTGGGAATACAAAAAGTCCCTGCCCTCAAGGAACTCATAATCTAATGAGGAAAACAATATGCAAATAACTATGTCCAACCAAGCTATACACAGGATAAATTGGAGATAATCAACAGAGGGAAGGTACTTCCCTAGCATTAAGGGAGACTGCAAGAAAGATGTCTTGTAGAAAGTGAAATTTTAAATGGGACTAGAAGGAAACCAGAGAAGTCAGAAGGAAGAGGATGGGAGGGAGGGAATTTTAGGTATGGGGGACAAAAAGAAAATGAAAGAAGGCCCCAGGACAGAGCCCTGGGAGACATCCATGCTTGGGATATAGGGTATGGATGATACTTTAGCAAAGGTGACTGAGGAGGAGCAGTCAGGCAGTCAGGAGGAGAATGAAGAAAGAACACTTTGAAGAAAACTGAAGGAAAAATCACACTGACCAAAACAGGGAAGAGTTGCTTCAGCCACTGTGCACTGCCCAGGTACAGTTCACAGGTACTAAGACTTCTATGAGCTTCCTGGCTTAGTCACACACAGAAAAACTATCCTGAGGTGTCTCCCCAGCAAAGCTGGGGTCCTTCCCAGTTCTAAATCCAAGGTCCTGGGCAGAAGAGGCTCTAGAGTTGGAGTCAAAGGATCTAGGTTTGAAACCAATTCCTGTTATTTATTGACTGTGTGACTTTGGGCAAGTTACTTAAACTTTCTGTGTTCCAGGTTCCAGTAAACTAGATTAGATAATGTTCAAGGTCACTTCCAACTCTAAACCTGTGATCTTATAAAAATGTCAAAAATTCTCTTTACATTTTTGCAATCTGAAATGTTTTCAGAGCCACAAAAACACATGGGAAGAGGTAGCTGTTACTATTTCTTATTATAAATTGCATTGTAGAGATAAAGGCTGGATTCTCACAAGCAATTATATTTAGGTCCCAATTAATGCAAATAATTAATTCCTTGACATGGTTGTGTTATTAAGATTCATACTACAAATATCCATTGCTCTAGAATTAATCACCATATTTCAACTTTGAATATTGGAATTCAAATATATGTGATCACTTCCTAGGATTCATTGTTCATACTAATCAGGGCCTAATTGCAAGGGAATTAATGGGGAAAGAGACAAGAAGTTCTCTGGTTCTGCCTGGAAACATAGTCTATGGGGAGGGTTCCAAGTGGTAGAAGGAATATAGCCTTAAGGATGCTGTTTCCTAGCTCAGGATTTAGAAATGACTAGTGTTTCCATGTCCCACTTGAGCAGCCTTTGCATTTGCAGGTAACACTCCACCTCCAACATGGCCAGTGGCCTTTTGATGTCAGCCCCAGTCTGCCTAATTGAAAACAGTAATGGGCAATTCATGGTGAACCAGGACGCATTGCAGGTCCTTACTACAGTTACCCAGCCTGTGGTGGTAGTGGCGATTGTGGGACTCTATCGCACTGGAAAGTCCTACCTGATGAACAAGCTGGCAGGGCAGAATACTGGTAAGTCCAATAGGTAAGGCTGCGACACATCACTCTGTATACAAATACAGAATATTGTCCATTTGGATCAGATTAGGGTCTTAGGGATAAGAATAAATGGATCTTTACAGGCAAGGTTTCTTCCTTAGTGCTCCTGATTCTTTCCAAATATAATAATGAAGAAACAGGACAGAGAAGGGAATTCAAATATTATATCACAAAGGTTTTCTTTCATAAGGGACATAGACAGCATAAAAAATAAAATAAAAGTAGAGTCCACAAATCAGGGAATTAAAAATAAATGGGATAGAAGGGAAAAGAAGTAATGAGGAAGACAAAGCAAAGGACAATTTTTTTTAAAGGGAGTAGCAACAAAGGGGAGAAGATTTAAAAAAGCATTGACCAAAGAAAACAGTTACTTAATTAGTTATGGTGATGTTTAAGAAGATATCATCTTAATAAAGAAAACTAGAGATGTTTATTTTTTACATATTCCTTAACAGTACTGATAAGATGATCTAAATTCTTTTGGCTACTTTTTTTCCCCTTTTATTACTTAAAATGAGAGTTTGAAAGCGAGATTTTTGAACCAAACTCTTAACTGGACAGAGAGAGAGAAGGTTTGAAAGCGAGAGAGAAATGAACAAATAAAAAATAAATAGAGAAATTATCAATATAAATAATTTCAAAAAATTTAGAATGGGTCAGTTGAATGTGAATGGAATGAGAATACGAGTGTGGGGAAAACAAAGTGAGAATACACTGGTTTAATATAAAATTCAATGGCCTCTCTCTCAGAACTATAGCTAATGTTACCATATCTCTACCATTTGATGGGATGTCTGTGAGAAGAATAAGAGTTTAACCGCCATTCTGGAGAGAATATTAATTGTGACAGCTGACTAGAGGAAACAGAAAGAAACTAAAATAAGTTATCTGTAGAGATAATTGGATATAACATATATCTCACAAAGCAATATGAAAAGAATTCTTGAGAAAATATTTTAATGCATATCTTGAAAGAATTGAATGGTGTTTCTAGGTTTCTAAAATTGAGAAGTTCGTAGTAATCAGTCGTTGAAAGTGACTTTGGCTATGACTTTCTCTCAGCTGATATGTTACAAATATCCATTCATGACTTGGTTCCTTGTTGGTTACAGTGATAACATATAGTACAGTCAATAACCTTAATGTTTCAGCCAAGGAGTTGTGAGATTGGGGGGTTGGAGAAAAGGATGATTTCTATCAAGAGAAAAGTGAATCTAAGCTTATGGGGAAAGACGCTTCTCATTAGTTAAGTACGCAATATATAAACTGAGGTGGAGTACAAAGCTAATTCATTAATTAATGAGAGATGTTGCAGTTTTAGTCATTATTAAGGAAACATTAGAACATGATTTTCTTAGAACCAAAGATGGGAATGAATAAGAAAAATTCACTGGTAATAGATATAATGGAGATTGGACAATATATGTTACACATAAGGATTTACTCTAACTCACAGAGACACTAGCATAAAAGTAGTCTAAACTTAAAAAAAACCCTCATGTACAAAATACTGATTTAAAGCAATAATATATAAAATAAATAAAAGGAGAAAGACAGATGCCAAATGTGGATAGGATACATAATCCAACAACATGAAATAAAGTGACAGTGTGGATAAGAAACCAGAGCCCAACAATACAAGAAACATAACCAAAAATAAATATTCATCTAGAATGAAAATAAGAGGAAGGAACAAAAATTACTGTGCATCAGAGTGATTCTATAAATGTAGAGAATGAAAGAATGAATGTATAAAACAAAACAAAAACACAAATTCATATTACCAAGAGAGGTATAAGGAAATGACATTATGATTAAAGAATAGGCAATGAAGCAATATTACACTACCAATATATGCACCATATGGAATAGCATCCATTTCATTTGTAAATATTAACTGAATTAGAAAAAAAGACATAGATAATAACATAACAATTATAGGTGACTTTAATGTTCTCTTCTAAGAGCTAGTCGTGCCTTATTGCTTCTAGGTTCAAATACAAATCTCTCTGTGAGTCATTTAAAGTTCTTTACACTCAATCTACATCCAGCACTCTTTCCACTACGGCTCTGTTTGGAATGTCCTCCACATGCCCCAAATGTTAGAACTCTCACTCTGCTACTATCTTTGCTCATCTCTCTACATTCTTGTATAGGTTTCTCCCTTGGCTCCACAGTGCAGTCTCACACAAAGGGCATCTGGATGTGGTGTGTTCCTCATCCCAAGGAGCCGAATCACACCCTCATTCTTCTGGACACCGAGGGGCTGGGTGATGTGGAGAAGGTAAGAAGAGGTGGATGCCACCGTGCTCAATCAAATGTTACTAAACACTGTTGTTCTAGGTCTCAAGTTAACAATGACCAAGTGAGTTAGTTTTCCCCTGCTGCATAATCATGGTAATCTAGGGCATCTCACAGAAATGGTAAAACATCATGCATTCAGCCCAGATAATGTGATCTACCTTCTAGGGTGACAATAAGAATGACACATGGATCTTTGCCTTAGCTGTGCTACTGAGCAGTACCTTTGTCTATAACAGCATGGGCACCATCAGCCAGCAGACCATGGACCAGCTGCAGTATCCTTTCTGTACAAAATGAAATGATGTTAAGAAATCACTTTGCAAATTTCAAAGGTCTATATCAGGGATACTGAACCTGCAACCTTGAGGCCATGTGTGGCCTTCTAGGCTGTTGGGTGCAGCCTTTTGACTGAGTCCAAGTTTATGGAACAAATTATTTTATTAAGGGGATTTGTTCTGTGAAGTTTGGATTCAGCCTAAGAGCCACGCTTGAGGACCTAGAGAGCCACATGTGGCCTTGAGGCCACAGATTCCCCACCCCTGGAGTGGATAAAAATCCCCCATTGCAGTCAGGAAGACCTAGGTTGTAATTTACTTCTGACAGGGCAAAACAGTTAATGTCTCAGTGCTCTGAGACAACTCCAAAGTTGTATAAATGATCAGCAAGTATCAATCCGTATTTCTAAGGGAAAATTTCTCACTGGGAGTTCCCTATACTGATGAAAACAAGGATCTGGTCATACACACACACACACACACACACACACACACACACACACACACACACTCAGTAACTGTCAGGAAAATCTCTTATGTTCTTGCTAAAGATGCCAATGAGTTGATTCAAGGGAAGGAGAAACAAAAGACATTAGGGAATTGGGAGACTTAAGGAGTGATGCCTGCTGGACTCTTTTTCTGCCACTTTTCCTTCATTAATACCCCAGCTATGTGACAGAACTGACAGATAAAATCAAGGCAAAATCTTCCCCCAGCACTGAACAGATGAATGATTCCATGGAATTTGCAAGTCTCTTTCCAGACTTTGTGTGGACTGTGCGTGATTTCATCTTGGAGTTGGAAATTGATGGGCAGCCTATCACCTCTGATCAGTACCTGGAGAATGCCCTGAAACTGAAGAAAGGTGCCAGGGATTAAGGGGTGGGCAATGGGGAAAATCCCAGAAACCACTCTTATTTGTATCCAGTTTACCTATGTATGGTAGTAATCCCTAGCCTCCTCAAAAAAGAAGAATATGGTGCAAGGCTTAGAAAGAGGATAGATGACTAGGTTCAATTAATAATTGTATTCATGGCACAAGTTCTTTGTCCTATTCCTTTTCTCTCTCTTTAATCAACTTCATGCCTAAAGACATCAGGGTGAGGAGTGAGTCAAACATTCTGAACAGGACATAATTTGAGGGGACTGAACTCCAGGACAACTTTCACTCTATCCCATATTCTTCTTCCTTCCCTTTCCTTAGGTACCAGTGAAGAAGCCAGAATATGTATCCAGAAGTTCTTTCCAAACAGGAAATGCTTCATCTTTGTCCCACCGGCTCATAGGAAGAAGCTCAAACAGCTTGAGGAACTTCATGATGATGAGCTTGACATTGACTTTGTGGAAAATACTAAAAACTTTTGCGATTACATCTTCAAAAACGCTAAGGCCAAGACTCTCCCAGGAGGTGGCACGGTCAATGGGTTCCGTAAGTGTTCTCGCCAGCACTTCCCTTGACTTCCTTGTGGCCGCTTGCATGGAACACTAGAGTGAGGCACACAAAAGTCTTCGTAGGGTAACTATGGACAAAGGCAATGACTGCTTTCTTGTACCCGGCCAGTCATATGTACCACATTTGTAAGAGCTTTGGTTACCAACAACATCTTTCTTATTTCCTGTTTCATAAGCATTCTTGATGCTTCCTGATTCTATCAGAAAGCTCAGTTTCTGAGAAACAAATGAAACTCCCACTCCCCACCCTGGCAAAGAATAAAGAAACAGCCTCATTCCTAAATAGAGTAGTTCTGGCTATTCTTCTGATCATTCCATTTGTCTTCCCTCTACAGGTCTAGGAAAACTGGTCCTAAACTATGTTGAGGCCATCACTAGTGGAGATATTCCCTGTATGGAGAATGCAGTCTTGGCACTGGCTCAGCTAGAGAACTCGGCTGCAGTTCAAAGGTCCCTTACACTGTATGAAGAGATGATGAGACAGAAGGTCCGCTTCCCCACAGAAACCCTTCAAGAACTGTTGGACGCACACATTGTCTGTAAGAGTGAAGCCACTAAATCCTTCATCAAGGACTCTTTCAAGGATGTGAACCAGGAATTTCAAAAAACACTGGAGGTACCTTTGCTATTTTAGGACTTTGCCTGTAAACTACAGCTCTTACTAAATTTGAAAGCCTCAGACCTCAGTACTGTGACCATGACACCCCATTTTCAGTATTACCAGTAACTGAAAGACCCATGACTCTTATGTGCTCCATAGATCTAATGTAATATGATCATCTAATACATATATTGAAAGTCTTGAGAAGTTAAAAAAGGCTTTTGGCCTGCAATGTGAGTTATATACCATAGTCCTAAGCAAAGACAGTAGTGGGAAGGGATTTCTGGAAACTTCTTATCAAGACACTTGTACTGCATATCTCTTATATACAACTTGCTATTCCTTTTAAATATGTGATAAAATTATTGTGTGATTTTTTTTTTTTTTCCTTTTTTTCTTCCCTCCCCTCCCCTGTCCTAGAGATGGCTACCATTAGACACAAATAGGTATAGATATGTAAAACTATTCTATATATACTTCTATTTATCAGTTCTTTCTCTGGATACAGATAGCATCTTTCTTCATATGTCTTTTATTTTTAATTTCTGTATTTATAATAGTCAAATTGACTTATTCATTCAAAGTCATTCTTAAAACAATATTTACTGTATTGTTACTGTTACTGTATACAATGTTCTCTTGGTCTTGCTCATTTCTCTCTTGATTATTATGTGCAAGTCTTTCCATGTTTTTCTTAGATCACTGAGCTCATCACTTCTCCTAGCATAGCAGTATTCCATCACAAGCATATACCACAAACCTAACATTTTCTTAAGGGGAATTTTCTGAAGGAAAACATCCTAACAATTAAAATTACTTAAAAGTGAAAGGTCATTCTCCTTTCATTAGACCTCTTCAAGAAAAGGATGGACAATCACTTTGGCAGCATGGAACATGGGGTAGATTAGAGATCCTTTTGAATTTTGAAATTATGTGCTTCTTTTGCACCCCTTATGTCTTACTCCTTTTTTCTTTATTTAATCCCTCTAAAGATTCAGCTAGAAGCCAAGCTAGATGACTTCCATAAACAAAATGAAAGAGAGTCCCTAGACCAGTGTACTGCTTTGCTTCAGGCTATTTTCAGTCCTCTGGAGGAAGCAGTGAAACAGAATGCCTTCTCCAAACCAGGGGGCTATGGCATGTTTCTTCAGAAGAAGGAAGAGCTCATATATAAATACCACCAGCAACCCAAGAAGGGCATACAGGTAAACCTTCCCTTTGGGCACAGGTTCAGGGTTGAAGATTAAGAGGAGCCAGGAAACTTTAAGGGTCTTTTCCAAGTCTCAAGATAAATAGTTAATAGTACTGTCAGCTGGAGTGACCCACAGGGAAGCTCTGCTCGGATGAATGAACAAGCTTTGGCTTCACCCTCACATCACCATTTCCTGTTTCAAATTTATTGTCTTTCTGTCCTCCAGGCAGATAAGACTTTGGAAGAATATTTGAAGTCAAAGGAAACTGTAGCTGATGCAATTAACCAGACAGACAAAATGCTTACTGCAAAAGAAGAAGAGAAGAAAGGTGAGAAATACATGAAAGAGACTCTAACCTGAGTAGTGCTGGGAATTGTGCCCTCTGCCTTCAGAAATATTATTTAAGATGACTGGGTGTCTTTGAGAGCATTTGAATTCAACAAAGACTCCTTTTTTTGCTTCCTAAATATTTCTCTCTCCCTAAACAAGTACTAATTACTCTAGTGAAGAGGTCCAATAAGTTTATTCTATGAAATAAAACCAATAGGAAATAGGGGTGGAAGGCTGGGGAAATGAGCAGCCTACTACCTCGAGTTGTTTTTGTTCCATTGTTTTAGTCATGTCCCACTCTTTGTGACCCTATTTGAGGTGTTTGTGGCAAACATATTGGAGTGGTTTTCCATTTCCTTCTCCACTCATTCTACAGATGAGGAAACTGAGGCAAATAGAGTTAAGCAACTTACCCATGGTCACACAGTAATTGTGAAGTAGTAAGTGTCTGAAGCCAGATTTGAACTCAAATCTTCCTGCCTCCAGGCCTGGCTTTCTATCCACTACACCACATAGATGCTCTATCTACCTCTAGTTAAATTTTTATAATTCTTCTTCCTTCTCAGAGCAACAGAGGAAAGCACAAGTTGCAGCAGATGCTGCAAGAGCTTTGGAAATACAGCAAAGAAGGCAGGAGCAGATAAGGCTGGAAAATGAAAGAAGACAGCAAGAGCAACTAAGGCAAATGGCTGCCAATATAGGAGCCCAGAGGAGGCAGTGGTTGGCAGAGCAAGAGAGAGAACAGGCTAGGAGACTACAGGTATTACATTGTCCCAGTTCAACATCTATCCTCTTCCCCATTGCCCTTAATGACTTGACCACACAGTTACAACCCTTGAATAGTGAAAATGTTTGGCCCTAAAGGAAGACTACTAATATAGTCCAAGACAGCATCTCCTACCTCATTCTATTAATTCATTTTGCAAACATTTATTAAGCACCTACTCTGTATAGTCACTGTGTCAGCCTCTGAAGATAAAGGGAAAAGACATAAAGGAAAGGAGGGAGGAAGAAAAGGAAGGAAGAAATGAAGTAGGGATGGAAGAAAGGAAAGAAAAAGAGAAGGAAGAGTGGAAATAAGGGAAGGAGGAAGGGGAGGGGAAGAGGAATTTAAAAAGGAGGGAGGAAAAGAGGGAAAAAGGAATAAAGGGAGAAAGGCAGGAAAGTAGGGAGAAAAGCAAGAGGGAAGGGAAGGGAAGGGAAGAAAGGAGGGAGGGAAGAAAAAAGGGAAGGAAGGATAAAAGGAGGGATGAAAAGGAGAAGAGAAGAGAGGAGGGAGGGAGAGAGGTAGGAAGGGAGGAAGGAAGAGAGGGAGGAAGGTGGGAAGAAAAAAGGAGGGAGAGAGGAAGGGAAGGAAGGAGGGAAAGGAAGGGAAAATTCAGACCACTCAAGGAGTTATTCTATTTTTCTGAACTTCCTGTGTGCCTCTCTGTATCACTCCTTGAACAATTAGATATATTGTCTTATATTGTTAATTTTCTTTATACATATTGATGTTGTTTCCCTAACTAGATTGTAAACTCCCCAAAGGCAAGGATGGCATTTTATGTTTCTTGGTATTCTCCACAGAGCTTAGCAAAGTATCTTTTATGTTCATATATTCAATGAAGAAAGTTATTAAGTAGCTAGAACTTAAGGCTACCAGTCACTAAGAAACCTAGTAGAATGTGACCCCCTGAAGGCAGGGACTTTTACAGTTTTTGTCTTTTTATCCAGCCACCTAGAACCTAGCAGTAGTGCTTGTTTGCATTAAATTGTATTGCTAAACCTAAGAGAGATGCCCCTCTGATTTCACCTATACTTGGACTGTTGGATGACTTTTTGTTTCCCTTTCTCTTCAGGAACAAGCCCAATTACTTCAGGAACAGCAAAGGAGGGAGATTGCTGAACAACAACGCCAGATCCAGATTTTGCTGGCCCAACATCATAACTGTAACTCAGATAATGACTGTATTATATTGTGAAGATAAGAGCTTCACATCTCACTCACTCACAGCTACAGTGTCATTTAAATGAGACATATTTATCCTTGGGACAGTACACAAGAGACCCAGCTTGCTGAAATAAGAATAGAATTATACAATTGCATGATTAAATGTATCTCAGAAAGCATTTATCAAACCTGAGCCCAAAGGACATGTCTTTTTTTTTTTTTACAATATCCATGACAAGTAAGTGGTCATTCAGCTTCAGCTCAAAGACCCCCAAGGATGGAGAATTCACTCCCTTTATAAGTAAGGTAAACCCATTCCATTTTTGGTCAGCCCTCTTTGTTCAGAGGTCTTTCCTTCACAGGAGCAGGGAGCTTTCCCTGCAAATGCCATCTAGTCTGCTCCCTGTGAATGAACTCATCTTGTTTAATCCTCTTTTGCATGACAACCTTTTAACTATTTGAAGACAAATATCACGTAACAGAAATTGGAAAAGAAGACAAGAAAAAAGAGTAGGAAAGGGACATTTGGTAGGTTAAAGCACAGCCAACAAGATGTTTGCTGCCACCATGCTTTCCCATGTGGGGTCTCTTTAATTCTCTTTTCATTATGATTATAGGGAACTGTGCAAGTACTCTCCTCCCTCACTCTGAGGAATGTCAATAAATCAGTGCTGTTTGCTACAGATTATTATACCTGCAGTTGCAGTTGGGCTATCACCCCAGGACTTGAGCTTAAGTGCCTCTGATCAGTGGAGATAGAGGCTGAGCAGCTGAGTAGGGGAGGAGGTGAAAGATGTGTGCCCAGTCAATGTATAAGCCCAGAGAGTCACATCCCAGGGGCAGCAGGCTAGGCAAGGGTGAGAGTTGGGAAATAGTTCTCTTCTTGCTGGGGCCTCTGAAAGCAGAGGAGGTTGGGACCTAGAGGTAGACCTGAAGGGAAATTTTGAACTGGGCTTCATTAAGGTGGGAACAGCAACTGTACCTCCGGTCCCATCAATCTCTAGGAAAGCTACCAACTGCTCTTCTAGGGCTTCCCCTATGGGCATTAGCAGTTGTCATTGGGTCCACACCAACAGTTCTTGGAGATTTGAAGATGTGAAGGGGTGGGTCTCCCAAGCCCTTGTCCTCTCTTTCTCCTTCCCCTCTTCCCCCCATCTTCTTCTTTGTCCTTTTCCTTCCTCCCCTTCTTCCCTCATCTTTTTGCCTTTCCCCCTCCCCTCTCTCTCTCTCTCTTCCTCCTCCTCCTCTTTCACAATTCGTCCTTGAGAGTAGAGCAAAAACTACTCCAGATTTTCCCAAGTTTCTGTCAGTAGAAGTTGTAGGTTGAGATCAGAACACTGTACTCATGACTAAGTAGACAGTGGGGCAGTTAAATGTCACCTTGAGCTCCTGGGTAGACGAACCAATTTAACAAGTCCTTTAGGACCAGGATTGTGAAAGGAGTTTGGAAGATGGAGAAGCTAGTCCAGACCCTATGCTGACTTTGCAGCCTTCTTCAATGCCAAAGGATTAGGATGTAAACTCTGAGGGCAAAGATCATCATTTTCCCCCACCTTTGAATTCCCAAGGTCTAAGGTAGCCTTGTACATACTAGATGCCTATGAATTTTTCTAACTAAATGAAAAAACAAATATCTGATGTTACAACTTTCTACTCTAGTGATATGTCTTCTTCTGTACCACTAGGTTCTTTCCGTGGAATGTCACAATTTCCTCCTCACTCACCTTTGTATTAAACCTGATTTCTGTAGAAACTTTGGAATTTCCTTTAGGTTCAAATGCACAAAATAAGACAGTAGCCTCAGTGGCCTCTGAGGTCCTTTGTAGTTCTACATTTATGGTCCTATGAGGAAGCAGCTTTTTTTTTTGTTACACACAGAAACACCATGTTCAAATTTCCCAACTGCTAATTGACTGCCCTGTTTTTCCTTCATGCAACACCCAGTGGGTAAGAAGACTGGTGTGACTTGGGGCTCAAGCCTTGCATTTGCATAAGTGGTGAAGAGAATGATTAGCTATTCTGGGAAAGGACAAGTCACACATTTTATACCAAAAAATGGAGGAAGGGACTAGGTTATGAAGGGCTTTAAAGGCCAAGAAGAGGATTTTATATTTGATCCTAGAGGAAATAGGGAGTCACTGCAGTTTATTGAATGGAGGAGTGGGGAGGGTTGTATGACATGGTCAGACTTGAGCATTAGGAAGATGAAAATAAATATGAGAGAAAACTCTTGTTTTCAAAGGGCTTACAATCAGAAATAAATTGCTTTTCCTGTACACGTGAACTATGGGAAATTATAGTTAATTTACCGAGGGAAAGTACTAAAAAGTAACAGGGATCAAGCAAGGCTTACCGTAGAAGGCAAGATTTAGCTGGGGCTTAGAGGATACCAAGGAAGCATGTTCTACGACATGTGACTAACAGGATGGAGGATTAGCTATTTTCTTTAAATTTGTCCAAATTAGGAATTATTCATTAGACATGAAATAATTTCAGTTCTCTCCATGAACTAGAACACTAAGAACCCAAAGTTAAAACTCAATGAACTAATAGCAGAGAAGTCCAATGTTCCCTCACCTCTAAAGAACATTCATTCAGTCTGCTCTCCCATACTGCCTATCGAGTCTGCAGAAGCCAACCCACACTTGCAACAGAACCCATCTCCATACCCCAAATGCCACTGACTCCCAGTACCCAAAGATCTTAATTCTAAAGAGCACATATTTGATCAGGTTCTGATAGTAGCAGGGTAGCACTCTGAGCCATGGACCAGAGAATTGAGGAACAGAGTGGATGAGCCCCACGTGGAAATGTGTGTTATTTGAATGAGCCTAAGGGAAGAGGCACGGACAGTTCTTTTGGCCCCCCTCCCCAAGTCACTTACTGCAGAAACCTAGGATGGTGAAATGTGAATTGCCCAGTGTAGGAGGAGGCTGAGACACTTTGAAATCCATCCCCAAGGGAAACTGGAGGAGAGGGTGCTAGAAAATGTGCAATAAGGGGGGAAAGACTGAAATCACCAAAGATCTCAAGAGAAAGAACCTTAAACATAAGCAGATAAACCAAGGAGGAAGATATTAACAGCAGAAAGAAATATTGCCTCTACATGTAGCAAAAACTAAAGGTGCCACATATTCCCAGCCTCGTGTGGGTCCACATGGGGAGAATTGGCCACTGGCACAACCTTTCCCCTTACTCAGAGACTTACAGTCATCTTTAGCACTAGGAGAGAGAGGTCAGTTTGGCTGATTAGTTCCTTTTTCATCATACTCAGTTCTAGCTCAGCAACCAATAAAAAAGGGTTCTTTTCTCCATACATTAAGTGGAGAGGAAGCAGTCATCTCTGGTCTTCCGTCACCAAATGATTAGTAATGGCTCTTTCAAACTGATATCCCACAGACATCTTAAACTCATTTGGCTGAAACTGAACTCATCTTTCCCACTAAATCCTGACCTCTTCTAAACATCATTATTGCTATTGAGGACACGACCATTCTGCCAGTCACCCAAGATCACAATGCAGGCGTCATCCTTGACTCCTTACTCTCACCAACCCCCACATCCAATTTGGTGCCAAGGCTCTTTGATTTGACCTTCATAACAACTCACAGATATGTTCTACTTTCCACACACACAGCCACCAGCCTGGTGTAAAGCTTCATCACCTCACACCTGTATGATTCAGTAGCCTGATGGTTGGTATCTCTGCTTCAAGTCTTTCTCCACTCCAGTTTATCTTCCCCTCAGTTACCAAACTGATCTTCCTAAATCCCAGTCCGATCATGTCATTCTCCTACTCAATAAAGTCCAGAAGTTGCCTTTTGTCTCTAGTATCAAATAGAAAATCCTCTGTTTGGTTTTTAATGACTTATATAGTCCAGTCCCTTTCTACTTTTCCAGTCAACCTACCTCTATGTAGATAAAAAATAAGCCCCTATGGGATAGTCCTTTGCTACAATAATAAAACTACTACCATGTTGTCCATGATGTTTGTTCTCTTTAGCTCCATGCCTTTCATTTTTATATCTAAGGAAATGGCTTTGCTTCGTTCTTCATAGCTACAAGTGCTATCCCTCCTTTAGGGAATGTAAACGAATCAATAGCATTTGCTATAATACATACATACATACATATATATATATACACATGTATATATGTAGATGTATATATATATATATAGATACATATGTGTATATAACAATATTAACAAGAAAGCCCTTGTTAGGATCTTTGTATGTTGGAAGCTTATTCCTCCCTCTGCTTTGGAATCTGAGATAGCATTTCCCATAGAGAATCCCAAAGGGCACAGGAGGGAAGGGGCAGGAAGATGCCATGAGCACCATTATCAAGGTTTGATTCCTCGTTTGAAAAGATCATCCAAGGTCATTCTCCTGGCATATGCTAGATGATTACAATGATATTGTGTTTATTGTCCTTTGCTTTCTTCGTTTCATCCCTAAAACAAGCCAAGATATTCTCCCCCTCTTTTTACAACAATAACCTTATAGACCTAGAAAGCCCCACTGAATCAGGCATCATAGACAGGATTCTCTAAATCTCCCTCTCTAAAATACGTCAGAGATGGGACTTTTCCCATACAAAAACAAAAGGGAAAGCTGGGAAGCGATATTTGGAACTGCCACACTATCACCTGAATCTGAATGCAGATGTGGAGGTTTTTACCATCCCACTGCTATCTCCAACCAGCTGTAAAGAATATGTTTTAATAATTCTCCTTTGGACATGTAATTCTCTTTTTTTTAAGAGTTTTAACATTTTTAAAAAATTTATTTATTTTTAGTTTTTAACATTCACTTCCTCAAGATTTTGAGTTCCAAATTTTCTCCCCATCTCATCCCTCCCCCCACCCCAAGATGGCATGAATTCTGTATACCCCTTCCCCTAATCTACCCCCTCTTCTATCTCTCCCCCTTTTCTCTTATCCACTACTCCTTCTATTTTCCTGTAGAGTATGATATATGTCAATACCCCATTTCCTGTATTTATTATTTCCCAGTTGCATGTGAAAACAATTAAAAAATTTTTTTTAGCATATGTTTTTAAAACTTTGGGTTCCAAATTTTCTCCCTTCCTCCTTACCCACCCACCCTCATTGAAAACACAAGGAACTCAATACAGGTTATACACATGTAGTCATGCAAAACACTTCCATAGTAGCCATGTTGTGAAAAACTAAATATATTTCCCTTCATCCTATCCTGTCCCCCATTTATTCTATTCTCTCTTTTAATCCTGTCCCTCCTCAGAAGTGTTTGCTTCTGATTACTCTCTCTCTGAATCTGCCCTCCCTTCTATCATCCCCCTCTCTCTTATCCCCTTCACCTTATTTTCCTGTAGGGTAAGATAGATCTCCATACCCAATAGTGTATGTTATTCCCTTCTTAAGCCAAATCCTATGAGAATAAGATTCACTCATTCCCTCTCACCTTTCCCCATTTCCCCTCCACTGTAAAAGCCTTTTCTTGTCTCTTTCATGTGAGACAATTTACCCCATTCTACCTCTCCTTTTCTCCTCCCAGTATCATCCTCTCTCACCCCTTAATTTTTTTTCCAGATAACACCCCTTCATCTTCAACTCACTCTGTGCCCTCTATCTATCTATACATACATGCAATTTTTTTCCCTCCCACTACCCTAATACTGACAAAGGACTCACAAGTTACAAATATAATATTTATATGCAGGAATGTAAACAGTTCAACCTTAATAAGCCTCTTATGATTTCTCTTTCCTGTTTACCTCTTCATGTTTCACTTGTGTCTTGTATTTGAAAGTCAAATTTTCTATTCAGCTCTGGTCTTTTCATCAAGAATGCTTGAAAGTCCCCTATTTCACCAGATGACCATTTTTTCTCCTGAAGGATTATACTCAGTTTTGCTGTGTAGGTGATTTTTGGTTGTAATCCCATCTCATCTGACCTCTGGAATATTATATTCCATGCCTGGCGGTCCCTTAATGTAGAAGCTGCTAAATCTTGTGTTATCCTGATTGTGTTTCCACAATACTTGAATTGTTTCTTTCTGGCTGCTTGCAATATTTTCTCTTTGACCTGGGTACTCTGGAATTTGGCTACAATATTCCTCGGAGTTTTTCTTTGGGAATCTCTTTCAGGAGGTGATTGGTGGATTCTTTCAATTTCTATTTTGCCCTCTGGTTCTAAAATATCAGGGCAGTTTTCCTTGATAATTTCTTGAAAGATGATGTCTAGGCCCTTTTTTTTTTTTAAGCATGGCTTTCAGATAGTCCAAAAATTTTTAACTTCTCTCTCCTGGATCTATTTTCCAGGTCAGCTGGTTTTCCAATGAGATATTTCACATTCTCTTCTATTTTTTTTTCCATTCTTTTGGATTTGTTTTACAGTGTCTTAATTTCTCATAAAGCCACTAGATTCCAATTGCTCCATTCTAATTTTTAAGGAAGTAATTTCTTCAGTAATCTTTTGGACTTCCTTTTCCATTTGGCCAATTTTGCTTTTTAGGGCATTCTTCTCCTCATTGACTTTTTGGACCTCTTTTGCCATTTGGGTCAGGCTATTTTTTAAGGTGTTATTTTCTTCAGTATTTTTTGGGTCTCTTAGCAAGCCGTTGGCTTGTTTTTCATGATTTTCTAGAATCACTCTCAGTTTTTCCTCTACTCCTCTTACTTGCTTCTCAAAATCCTTTTTTGAGCTCTTCCATGGCCTGGGACCAATTCATATTTTTCTTGGAGGCTTTGGATGTAGGAGCTTTGACT